GATCTAGGATAGCTCGCTTCAGAATGCGTTCCATCACCTTGCACGGCACGCTAGTGAGGCTTATAGGCATGTAGCAGCCGGGCGATAGTCCGTCACCAGTTTTGTAGATTGGCGTGACAATCGCTTCCTTTCAAGCAGAGGGAAGGCGGCCTCCGTCAAGCAACTGACGAAACACCATGTGTAAATGGTTTGCCAGTGTGGGGGACGTTTCCTTCAGGATCCTTGGATGGACCTCGTCGGGCCCCAACGCGCAGAATGGGTTGATCTTGTGCAAGAGTTGACGAATGTCCTCCACCGCGAAGACCAAGTCGGTTAGCGGCTGTTCGTAGCTTCGCCTTGACAAGAGTGGATGTGACGAGGACGCTGGGACTGAGTACAGACGCGCATAGTGTTCTCTGTAAACCTCAGATACCACTGTTGGGTCATTTGTCGGTTCTCCGTTTCTGTCCCTCAAGGAGAACGCGAATCGTTCTCTTCCGGTGCCTAGCCGCCATGTCACCCGAAGGTTGCACGAGGGCTGGGATCCTGCCAGGTTGCCCAAGCCTAGACAGGGGGAGTTAAGTGCCAGATGTCGGGTTCGAACCACGGACCTTCCGGTCGGTAAATTTGCGCTCTAACCACTTGGGCCATCTCGCCCAAGTTCGCTACTACGACGTTGATGACGAAAAGAACGGATAAATACCCATGTTTTTGCAATGTGTGAGTGTTTTCGTTCCCTTGTGCAATGCACTTGGCGCATGGTTCCTTCACTCGCTCGTTCTGATGACCTGACCGATCCTTTGTTGAATGGCCGTGCATATTCGATACCCTAATGCTGTACCACGAAGGCAACGTTTCAAGGTCATTACAACTTGCGAATTTACGTATTTCGGCGGCGCACTCCGTCATTGTTTTCGTTTTGCCCTGTGGCAATGAATTCTCGCTTACGTGAGCTAGCATTCCTACTATTTTGTGCCGTGGGTGTCTTTTTCTCCTACCTTGTATACGGAATTATTCAAGAAAAATTGTGAGTCCTCAAATTACTTGATCATTTCGCACCAGAACGAAAGGCAATTATGGCAACTCGAACGACAGGTTCAACTACTTCTTCTCTATGCTCCTCTTCCAATGCCTCGCCAACACCGCCTTTGCTGCAGTTGGTAATGCCCGTTACATCTAATTTTACTTGTAAAGCACTGACTTTCACTAGAGAACCTCGGGGGGAGGTCACCGAATCGAAATTCGCTCTGTGTGGTTTTACGTACATTGGTGCAATGTTCGCGAGCAACTTCAGTCTAAAATTTGTTTCTTACCCCACACAGGTACAATTTATCAAGCTTATTCTATTTGTCCAGGTCGTTAGTAAATCTATCAAACCTATCCCTGTCATGATTCTCAATGTTATTTTGGCAAAACGGAAGTATCCCCTTCAGAAGTATCTATTCGTGACCATGATCTCTATGGGAGTAATGATGTTTATGTACAAAAACAACGTCACCTCTACTGGCAGTTTCTTTGGCGGTGGAGAATGTTTGTTGGTTCGTACACTCATACTTCTACACATTCATCTTTCAGTTAATCTCACTCTTATTGGATGGAATAACCGGTGGGGTTGAAGAGTCCTTAAGTAAACACAAAGTCGGCTCCTACACTCTGATGTTCCGCATGAATATGTGGTCCGTCATTTATCTTATTTGCGGTAAGTCTAGAATCGGATAGGCGACAGTCACCTCTTCATCTACATCTGTCACAATCACACTGCTCACCAAATCACCATCTTAACAACGACAAGCGTGTTCCTGATACTGTCTGCAGGTATTTGCAGTTTAAGTGAACTGACGCGTCATGTGATTATAGTCATGTAGTGGAATGCTCCGCTATGGGGCTATTGAGATTTACCGTGGTGCAGCGGTAATCAGTACAAAGTCCATATTACCTACGAGTCTCTGGTACCATGTTAATCATCTGATAAATATCCAACACCTAGCCTCCCTGTACTCCATGTTTGGATGCAGAGTCTAGCGCGCATGTTCCTTAGGAAAACTCGCTTTGCTATTTTTCGATTGAATCGTCTTCCAAGCAGAGTTTGCAAGAGAAGGCGGTATTTTCACCTCGAGTCACTAACAGCTGTCGCACAGCCGCAGCTTGTAACTAAAGGCTTCACTCCTCACTGCCGGGTATACATACATCCGGACAAGTAAACGAAACAGTGCTAATGTCGACGTCCCTCTACTGTTCCCAGGCTTTTCCCCCCACCTCAGCAGCCACATTTTGTATATTCTGATAAAACCCTACCGCTATAGGGCGAATATCTCATTGGATGGGTCAACAATCCCGAAATTCAATCCGATAGCGTTTCGTAAACCTCAGAGTCTACACAGTCACAGCGACTTCCAGTGTGACACCTCCGTACACCCTGACAAAGAGACTAGGCACTGCCATGGTGTGACAGCCTGTGTATCTCCGTGACACATTAAGTTTTGCTGAGTGTTGCCGGGATGACACTTGTTGGGTCTCATGAAGCACTTAAACGGGTAAAGATCAGAATAACACATTCTCATGTTTCTCCTGTTTTTGGGTCATGAGCGCCTATCAACCTATTCTTTAAAAACTGGAATACCTTAGCATTCCCCATCAAGCATTACTGGCTTGCTGTGAGGCTTTTAAGCAGGAGTATTTGCCGGGTGGCCTTATCGTCTTCATGTTGAAGCCTAGGCTTCGTAATATCCTGGCTCACTAGCACCCTTAAAATGTCTAATTGCCAGTAATTTTGTTCCGCATCTGTCGTTGCGTAGTGTCACCCAGCAGGTCATCGTACTCACTGAATACAGTGTGGAGAGTAAATGAAAACAAGCTACCCAGTTAGCTTGGACCCCAACAAAAATGATAACGGTGTCTTTCCACTATGTACTTGAAACCCCCATAGTGCTGGTTTTAGACCCATTTGATGATATTGTGCTATCCGACTTTCCGTCAGTAAAGAAAGACAGTCAGGTTGGATATATGGCCATAATATCTGCCTTTGTAGAGTGTTCACCTCATTTCAGATCATGCTCTTTTTTGGTTTAAATCTCCAATAAATCACTCGGGGAACCTAAGGGACAACCTTCTTGTTCGGCTGTTGAAAAACCTGACCCAAAAGTCGAAAAGCTTTATCGAGGCAATCTGCACACACTTTGGAGACGCTGACTGCAACTGGGGCAAGATATGCAACGCCTGCCAAATAAATACTGAATTTTATAACAGCCTGTGTCGCCATTGGTGTGAAACATATCCCTCCCGATGTTGGATTACTCAACCAGGATATCTTTTAGAAGTGAGCGAAGCCATCGCCTGTCTGTGAATGGAAGGGCCTGGTAGAGTCAGAAGGCCCTGAACTTAGCCCAAGGCAGTGCAGTTTGGAATATTCCGAAATTGCTTCAACTCTCACACATAGTGGAGTCCAATGAACGGGTTTTTGCTGAGTTCTCCGAAGACAGTATTGGAAATTTGACGTACAACAAGAACCAACGTCATGCTTACGGGGATGAATATTTCCAACAGCAGTTTAGTTGATCATCTGCCCCTCTCTCCCCAGGCTTCTGAAGTCACACCATGTTCTGCTTTTAAACACCACCAAACCGCCGGAGTGGATGAACTAATACCAGGTTCGTTTGAAGTTGATAGGGTATATTTCTGTTTTCCCTTTTCTAGAATCGTTAAAGTGATTTTGAAATAAGAGTGCGACCCAGCAAACCAAGAGGCGAAAATCGTTATAATCCCGTTCAAGAAGGGCACCAGGATCGGCTGCTGCAACCGCCTGGGCAAAAGTCTTACCACAATTGTAACGTAATTACTGGCTTCAGTTATACTACGACGTCCTTTCTGTTCACCTGAGATGCAAATCCGAGAGTTCTATGCAGGATTTCGACAGATGTTGGTGTGCTGACCACTTCTTCACATTGAGAGCCTGAACGGAGACACACGTACTGCCGACCATCGATGACAGTTTCCCCTGACTTCAAAGAACCTTTGACTACGTAGATGAATCAACTCTTGTGTATTTACTTGTCCAACATTGGGCGCTATCGACTTTTCTGAACATCCCTCTTGTTGTTTTGGGGGCTAGATGGCTCAAGTGGTTAGAGCGTGGATTTACTGACCGGAAGGTCCGTGGATCGAACTCATCCTCGGCTACTCCTACCTAGGGGCGAGATGGCCGAAGTGGTTGGAGCGCGAATTTACTGACCGGAAGGTCTGTGGTTCTAACCCGACCTCTGCCTCTCGACTTCCCCTGTCTAGGCTTGGACAACCTGGCAGTATCCCAGCCCTCGTGCAACCTTCGGGTGGCATGGCAGTTAAGCACCGAAAGGGTGCTACAGCTGGACGACTCCCATCTAGGTTTGGAATCTTGACAGTAGCTCAGCCCTCATGTTTCCTTTGGGTGACGTGGCATTGAAGTGATGCTACATCGGAACGATTAATAATTACCATTATTGGCATGAGTATTTAAACTCAACCCAGAACTGTGAGACCCAAATATACGCTACCACCACTAAAGAATCTGGTCAACGTGACTGCGTCTAATGTATATACTCTTTGTCACGTGAGTCAACAGACAACTCTTGCTTATGCCGTTTCCTTATTAAAGGTTTACGCATTTTGCGTTTCTGAAACACACACACAGGACTTTACTACAGCACTACATCTGAACGCGATTCAATATAGCTAAGTTTATTCGCAGTTCACTCTCATTGTGTCAGGTAATCCTGAATGGCGTTAAGGGCGAGAGCTGAAAATACTCTTCTCGGTTGGATTTTATAAAGAGTCAGCTGGGTGTAGTCACACTGGCTACGTTTATCAGGGTCCGCGGTCAACGACCAAAAACCGAATTCTGTGTCATCTGTGCATGAGCGCTAAAAAGCCCCATCATTGACACTGTCAAGGACGCTTTTTGTGAAGGACTTTCGAGACTCTTACAGATGGCATGGTTCATGGGCACCACTCTTCTGGATGGTGGTTTGAATACCTCTTGAGAAGAATCGAAATTCATGACAACCGTCTCGGATGGCTCTTTGGTATGGCTGCTCCTAGCACCGACACTGTCAATCTCTTCCTACAACTATGCGCTGATCACCATCAATGAGAAAGCTATAATCTTCACTAGATGCAAGATTTGGTCATCGAAGAAGTCTAGAAGCAGCAGCTGTCTAGACAATTTGCTAACGCTAAACAAACCGATTGGATGGTGATTAGTCAGCGTTCAACTCTATTCGTTCCAAAATGAGGTCATGGTCCAATTAGAAGTGGATCTCCTAGTGACACGTATCCCTGACTGAGACGATCAAGACAGTCCATCGTACCAAAATGAGACCCGGCAGGATCTCTAAGGCGGCGCCTGGCGCGAAGACCCAAGAATGACCGAGAGGAGTGACTAAGCAAAGCCCAAGAAATGAAAGGGGTGTTAGCTATTGGAACTAGTCAAACTCTTTCAACTTACGCGCAACACTGGACCAAGAATACCGCCGGTCAGTGAAGTTATTACAGAGGAAGATGGTTTAAAATTCTACATTCATGCCTGCTTCCGTGGGCAAAACAATTCAAAAACAGCTCCGATGCCTAGAGCCGCTCAGCACAATGAATACCGCATCACCAGCTTCACAGTGGGGCGTGAGCTGGTCGATTCTATCAGAAAAATTGTAAAACGAAATTAAACCTTTGAGGTGAAACGAAGCATACTTCCTTCTCCTGTATTGTGTAAAGAGAGGGAAACAACCCATTGACAGTCTAACAAAACTTGTGCAGAACATTTGGAAGATGAGTAAAATACCGGAGGAATGGCAAATGTCTATTATCATCCCTATCTTTGATTAGGGTGATAGATCTAAGTCTAAGAATCACCGAATTTTTAGTTTAGCATCATCAATAAGTTGTTCATGGTCATCAACCTACGTATGCTTACCAGTATTTGCGAGGGATGTAAAAACCACGTTGAGTTCCTTCCGGTCTTTGGATGCACTGGCCACATTTTTACCTTACGAAAACTCCTCGAACATCACCACTTATAGGCAAGGCCAACAATTTTTATCCTTGTAGATTCGGAAGCAGCCTCAGACTCATTTCATCAAGCTGCGTTGTGACGATTTCTTCTCCGTAGAAGTGTATCAAGCATTTCCGTCAACTTTCCCTAATCCGTATACTCCTCTGCGAGGAGTATCCTCCTAAGTGCATAAAATTGGTTTGTCAGGTCTGCCCTTGCCACATTCCCTTCTCAAATCCGTAATTAGATTAGCTATAGGAGAACTGTTAGCTGTATCTTCTGGTATAGAGCTTTCTCCCCGATAAGAATCTAGTGATCTGCAGTTGGTATCCTTCCACTTGTTTCAGATTCCTAAATTCGAAATGGAGCAAATAACCCTATTAGTATTGTTTTATGCTTTGCACAGTCGAAATGTAGAGTGCCGTTCTAAAGCTGCTCATACAGTCAGGGCCACTAGGGGCAGTGAGCAGATCCAGCTTATTGGGCTGTTGTATTCCGTCATGCGGCAACGTTGTTAACAAAGTGAGTGCTATAAACACCAAAGCCGTCCCGCTGTCCTTTGGCTTTGTGTCCTGCTTGGTGTAATGTTAGCCTGTTGGCAAAAGGCAGGCGAACATTGTTCCTTTGACCATTGGAACCTTTGAAGCACCGCACATAGGTCATTGGAGAATTGGTTTGGTAATGTGAAAGTGCGACAAATGTTTCCTAACGGTATGTCAACTGTCGGTTCCACCAACTGCTCTGGCTCAGTCACGGTCTCCGCTTTTCAAGTGATGGATTGTCTCGCAGTTTCCTGTTTGCTGAAACAGAATGCAACTGGATAATACAGCAGTTTGGGCAAAGCGCGACATGGAGACGGAAGGTGGGAAACACAAAACACCTTAGCTGCACAGGTGTATGTAGTGTTTGAGGTGAGGTATCACAGACAACTGACGTGGCGTTGTTACGCACCAAGTGGAAATACTGTATTTACTCTCATGTTCCCGATCACTAATCTGTTATCCATTGGTTTCATTCTTGTTCTTCTGCACTTCATAGTTCATGTGCTGTACGCTGCTGTAAGCAACTGACTCCATACGCCGGCACATGGTTTACAGCTTTCAAACCGAACCGAACTGAACTAATGGCCCGGAATCGCTTGACGAGGAAAGTGGTGTTTGTCGGGTTAAAGTGCTTGTGGTATTTACTAAATACTGCTCAATAGCCGTTTTTACAGCTTAATCACAGCTATCGGAAGCGAATCTGGTGCATATATGGATTCAGTCCATGGTCCATGGATATCAGATTTTGTCCTGTTGATCCACATTTTACCCATCAAGCCAACACCATCAGTCGAGGCATGGCGAAGCTAAGACTACTTGTATCGTGGGCTCCATGGATAGCTTCCAAAGGAAGTTCCAATCTACTAAGTCGACAGTTTTTGCTAGGTTTTGGAAGCGTTTGCGTGATGTTGCATGGGAGAGGCAATCGCACCAAGAAACTGGACATCGACAACAGATACCAATGATCAATAAATCTAATCTCCGAAGATAATTTGCTCTCAAGGGTTACGGTGCACAAACACAGGGAGGAACCACCTAAATGGTATATTGGTATATACGGGTTTTAGCATTTCGGCCGATTTTACGCTTGTCTTGAAGTGTATTGATGAAATGCAAGAAAGCGATTCTTGCGCGGTCGATGTGAAGGTCGACCTCTTAGGTCCGGCTGTTGAAAAGCATAGTTAAGCCAATATACTTGAAGGCGAATATGGCTGAGAAACCCGGCTTGTGCATAGGGAAATTTCTGTCTCCGTAGCCGTCATTTTCAAGTTCATTTTGGGGAGTGAATTGATTGGTAAGGTTAAGCAGTTGTTGTAGGCTGATGTAATCGTCGCCAAACACAACTAGGCCATCAACCGCAAACTAACTGGAGGTTTTCATAGTGCGACAGTTAGTGTACCTCTATTACCTTTGTGGGCTTTGACACTCATAGACTCTCACACCGGCCGGATCAGTGAACAGAGGTCTGATTAACACGAACTCTTACTTATCCACGTTGGAATTGGAACATGTCCAATGTCTTTTCCCCAACTGCCTACACTGTGGTATTAAGTCGGCATCCACTAGCTTGCCGAAGGTTTTGGGGACTTAGGCTTTGGTTTATGCCCCTATTTGTCGGTGTCTTTTCCCCAACTGCCTACACTGCTGTATTAAGTCGGCATCCACTACCTTGCCGAAAGTTTTGGGGGCTTAGGCTTTGGTTTATGCCCCTATTTGTCCTGTTTGGACGGTCTGACAATATCCCGGCTCCGTTCGACCGATAACTTAAGAACTAAAAGTTATTTCGTATCCTATCGGCCGTCATCTGGTGCCTTGCTTGCTGCATTCAGCCGGATGAGTAAGCGAGAAAATCTGCTACTCTTGATGGTTCCCAGTTCCTTCCGCTGTCTATACCTTTTTATGCCTTGGAGTTTTAAAGGTAAGTTTTATAGATGTCCCGCAGTGAATTATCAGTGTGAACACTGACATGGGTGTCCGTAATAATGCCCTCGGTTGCTTTGCCTCAGCTGTTCTATTTTTTCAATTACTTTAGCAAAGGTTCTTCATTATGCTTTCCTCTGCAGCTTTAATAGCAACCGGTGAGGGCGCATTGTTCGCTCAATTCGCGCAAAAGCACCCGATTGTACTATACAAATTGGCACTTTTCGGTTTGACGAGTGCAGTTGGTCAGGTAAGCCCTTCCTCTTCCTTCCTCTTTCAAGAATTTTTGGATTCTCAGGCAAAGTTATACATTCGTCGTTTGGTTTTATCCGTAACACTACTTGGGATATCACGTCTTTTATCTGTATAGTGTTACTTCTGAACAACGAACAAGTATGTGACAGAACCAGGTGGAGTCCCGTTAGGGTTCGCTGTTGCACGGGAGATTGAATGAAAAGATAATAAAGTAATATGGTAGTCATTCACACTCCATCTTATAAAAGCTTTGGTTGGCCTGTTCGGCCGCATTCTTGCGATATTTCTTTCCCAAGCGGGCTTCCACGTATCCGTTTATCAGATCTTAATAAAAACAACACTTTTGTGCTTATCCTTGCTAGTGTTTACTTATGAACCGGTGATTACCGTTAATGGTGTTGCTATTACACATTAGTACTAACATTATTACACTTGATTGCCAAACAGGAGATAACTTCCAACTTTTGTCCGCAGGCAAAGTCATACATTCGTCGTTTGGTTTTATCCGTAACACTACTTGGGATATCACGTCTTTTATCTGTATAGTGTTACTTCTGAACAACGAACAAGTATGTGACAGAACCAGGTGGAGTCCCGTTAGGGTTCGCTGTTGCACGGGAGATTGAATGAAAAGATAATAAAGTAATATGGTAGTCATTCACACTCCATCTTATAAAAGCTTTGGTTGGCCTGTTCGGCCGCATTCTTGCGATATTTCTTTCCCAAGCGGGCTTCCACGTATCCGTTTATCAGATCTTAATAAAAACAACACTTTTGTGCTTATCCTTGCTAGTGTTTACTTATGAACCGGTGATTACCGTTAATGGTGTTGCTATTACACATTAGTACTAACATTATTACACCTGATTGCCAAACAGGAGATAACTTCCAACTTTTGTCCGAAACCACTTGTCATAAGCAAAGTTAAAAGTGTTTGAAGTCATACGTGGATGCAAACAACGGTCGTAGAAAGTCAGTGCGGAAAGAAACCACATAAAAAATCACCACAAGCAGGCCGTTTAGTGTGTGTCATCTGACGACATTGTTAATGGTTGACCAGGTGAATGTCAATCTGTTCGCCAAGCTTCTGTCACCAATCAAGGTGACGTCATCTGTTCGTGGTCTAGTTTGAAGAACATCAAATGCTCCACTTCCGTCGTCCTCAAAATGGACATCACTATGAAGACCATCTTTTTAGAAGCCATCAAAAAACTGCGTTTACACCAAAGTAGACGCGCGGTTCAGTGACTACTCTGGAGAGGAACACTTCTCATATCTGTTGCTGCCAATGAAACAGTATCTCAACCGAAACATCATCAGTGTACTCGTTTTTTTATTCATAATTATGCTGCGTTCTGCTGAGCTACCGACAGACACCCTACACAACAAATCATGCTTTTGGTTTCATTTGATAGAAAAATGAAGAACTTTGAGCTTAACAAAAGGAATGAATCCAGTTTGTTGGTGGGTAGTGTTTCTGTTTGAAACAGGGTTTCTAGCATAGATTTAAGCAAGAATCGTTTATTGGTATTACCGGAAATGTTGTTTAAAGTAGGTGCGTCATCTTCACTTTTTGCATACACTATCAAACGGATTATATGACATCCCTTAGCTGTTCTCAGCCGTTGCGCGAATGTTTTGCATCGCTATGTGATTGCACTATCCAAAGATAAGTAAGCACCCATGCAAATGTGAATTGTTGCTGATGCTGAGTCTTGCAATATTTTCTTTATAAGCAGATTGATTCCTCACTAAGCACGCCACTCATAAGATTGCTGAAAATTCTCCGAGAGCCCACGACCAGTTCCGCTCATCTTAGGACTCGTCACCTAGGCCCAGTCCTCGAGTTCCCGCTAACACTATGTTCCATCCGAACCCAACAGGTTATTTCTTCGTAGAGAATCTAGTTTGTCCCTTGCACTTAACACGAACGTCAGTGCTCTGGTCTTTCCATGTTGTTGGTGGCCTGTTTTTATTGTCCTTGTCATAGATTCTCTCCCACATTCAGCTAATCTCAAACAAACGGAAAGTATTTCATTGTGGCGGCATCAACTATCATGGCGGGAATTACATTGCCTCGTGACTTATCATGAGGAACCAGCATCAAGTATCATTCCAGTTGGGGGATCAAATATCCTCTTAAAAAGTATCCACCGAACGTTTTTCGAATGAACAGACTTCATTGTTGGCTTCTTTTTAAACGATACGTATCCTTCTAGACCCCCGTATTTCCGTATATCTAGGCTGAAAGAAAGATCATTCCAACTCCCCCCCTGCAAGTGGTATTCTTGTACTCTGTAGGGAGCCTGGAATCTCGGTTATTTTAACTGTACTCAATCTGCTGAGCTCACACGTCATTTAAAAATCGCCGCGCAAGCTTTGATGTTTTGGCAAACCCAGCTTGACGCATACCAATCTGTTGACCAAATTGCAATGCAAAGAAGCCTTGATTTAGATACTGAGCAAATACTTTGAGATGATCATGCCTGCTCAACCCGTGGCCAGAATTTGTCGTGGGGTCTGTCGCGCAGTCTTCTTTTCGGAACCAAAACAAGTTAACTCCATAAGTATGGCTTACAAAGCATTAGATGTATCTACTTCCTATGTTCTCTATCCGTTCGCCTGCAGTTGCAGTGACACTGGAAAAACGCATGGTCCCAAAAGAGAACAACCAGATATACGAAGCGGAGTACGCTTTCACCATCTTTCACACAGCGCATTTAGTTCATACGTCATCAAATTCACTTGACGCGTCATTCAAATTCGTACTGCCTAACGCCAATTCGAAGCTGTTCGCCTTCAATTTTGGCTAACATTTTGTTTGCTCGTGAGTAGTTGGTAGTAATTGGTGAAACAAGAAAAACCAGTGGGACATCTTTCACACAGCGCATTCAGTTTATACGTCATCAGATTCACTTGACGCGTCATTCACAATCACAAACGCCAATCCGAACCTGTTCGCGTTCAATTTTGCCTAATATTCTTGTTCGCTCGTGAGTATTTGGTAGTAATTGATGAAACAAGAAAAAACAGTGGGTAAAGTGGAACCTATACCTTTCAACCCTCAAGCAAACCACAGTGAAAGGTTTCCTTCGTTCTGATTTTCCCGGAAGTTTTATTTCTGCACCCAGCCGCTTGTGAGCCGTCAGCTATTATTCTCAAATCTGTACAATTGTTTTCCAAGACCGCGTAAGCCCTAGGCGTTTTGTGTGGAATTGGGCAACAGCTCCTTCACTGGACTGGCCACACACTGAAATTAGATGCTGTCGGATACGTTGTTCGGTACATTTTGAATATGGTCGTATCTACCTTATTAGACATGGCTCGAAATCTCAGCTTCTACCACCCACGCTACTGACGAACTCGGGCGAATTCAGTGGTCTCCAAGCGGCCCACCCGCAGTATAATGATTAATAAAATGAGGTGATTTTGTCTTCCAAACGAGAATCATTTATCTCTTGGTACTGGAACCTCCGTCGCTAAGGAGATGTCTGGGCTGTATTGGTTTGGCGTGATACTGAGCTCCAATCTTAGCGTTAACAACAAGTCCAGGGAACCTATGCGTACAGACTGACCAACTTGGATTAGATTCCTGCCCCAAATACATCGATCCGCCGTCAGATGTCCCCCACCATAAAATGTGTTTTGGCTTCGAGAAAATAACGGATGCACATTCATCCGATTGTTTCATGTCCAAACTCTCCCTTCTGTTCATTCCCCAGATCTTTCTGTTCACATTGCTTACTAACTTCGGGTCGTTGATGTGCTCGATCGTAACCACAACGCGAAAGTTCTTCACTGTGCTGGTTTCCATTATTCTGTTCGAACATGTAATGACCACGCGACAGTGGATCGGAACCGTGCTGATCTTTTCTGGCATCTTTTTGGATCAACTCTACGGAAAGAGCGCTCATAAAACTGTTCATGGCAAGGGTCACGCCCAGACCGATCGGGAAACGTCCAAAAAGCGTGATGAGACCAAGTTAAAGGGTCTTTGAGCACTATCGATGCGGATGTGCGTTACTTTTGACTTTTGCTTCCATCTGTGCAATGTTTCGTGATACAGTTTTGTTGCATAGTTTGCACGTGTTTTCTTTTGTTTATCACCACAAAGACTGGTTGGTTTTTGCACTGCACAACCTATAAATGGATGCAACAAGTGTGCTCAAGATTATGATGACGTCATCTCGTTTTTTATCTCATTACGTCGCCAATCAGGACTTTTTTACTCATTGTTCAGGAGAGCGTTTTTCGCACAGCCATTCTTAATATGGTCTTTATGGCACTCTTACTTGATGCCTCGTATCTACTCGGTAACATTCGTTAGACACTACATATGGGGTACCAGAAAATGCTTGGATTCATATGTTATAAATATGTGGACAAAACCATGATCTTGTCTCATTAAACTGGAAGCTTCCATGAGAAATACGCTAGTCCAATCCGACCATCACTCGTGACATCAAAACTGTTCGGCTGACCGTTCTGCTTGTACTATGCCGGTTTCCTACCAAATTTTTCACCTTCTGCCGTGGACATTCCAACTACACTCTTCATATAAGGACAGAATAATGGAGTATCATGTGAGAGAGCTCCACATAAGTGCTCAGACCTTGTCTGGATAAAAAACCGGTTCAGTTATAATAAGTCCCGGAAAACTTACTTCAATCCGAACCTCTACTTTACCGCGTCAGTTGGGCTTTTATGAACCCCCCGTGGGATGTCGGTTCTTGAAGTTAACGGAACATGCACGTACCCCACTGACATTGAATGCCACGCTGATGCGGTATGTTAACTGACGTTTTGCCGATGCTCATCTCGTTATTTTACGTCATGATGGGTTTCATGAGAAAAATTCTGCGCGCTCACCAGGTTGCATCGTTCTGGCTTTTCCGCCGTGAGCAGCGCACGGGCTAGAGTGTTTTGGCTTGCGAGTCTTATGATATTTATGGTAAAAGCAGGAGAATAGGGCTGTGTCCCAACTTTTTCTTCACTCATGAAAATGGTGTATGTGGGCAGAAGGGAGTCCTTTTCTGAAATTTTCCCTGCAGAGTATAAAAATAGATGGAGAATTGGATGGAAGTTAGCCAAATACACTCATTTGCAAATAAATTTGGTTTTGCGAGAGACTCACTTGGAACCCAGCTGAATCCCTCGTTTGCGATGTTTCCAGGCAACTGAGTGTGCTGCACCAGGCCACCTCATGTTCCAGTTGCTACGATATTCGGGATATTGCGACATGTGTAGACATAATGCGCTACTCATAAGATTGCCTGGAAACATCACAAACGAGAGATCCAGCTGGGTTCCGGGTGAGTCTATCGCAAAACCAAGTTTGTTTGCAAATGGGTGTATTTCGCTGATTCCGTGCAATTTGCTTTCAAGTGAACACAAGGTTGCGGAAACCCGGGGGCTGTGCCTACCTGATGAACCCCCAAAAGGGCGAAACCGGTCATGGGCTGTCGAAGAATTTTCAACAACCTTATCAGTAGTGCATTACGTCTACACATGGATGGAAGTTGTTTTCACTAAATACTTCTTCTTATCCACGATTTGACAATGTGGCACTGTGGGCATCGAGCAGATAAATGAACGGAGAGACAACTAGCATGCCATGTCCTAATGAGTCTGTACGATTCATGGTTCCACTAATTAGTTTCACCGTGAATTTACTGTTGTTGCATTTTGCTGATAAAAAACTCCAGCTAGTTAACAATGACCCGAAACTCAATACATGGCACTATCCAGGTAATAGATGTATTCCAATGTACTCAGTCAGTTTGTTCATTCCGTTGCGTTGCGTCCATTCATCATACAAAGCATGCAGTAAATTACTCAAGAAGACATTTTCAACGGGAACTAAACTCACTGCATGTGCAAAGAGCTTCACGGAGACTTTCCTTTTGTCCAGCTTCAATTACGTCAAGAACCCGTCACCGGAGTGTACATTTTGCCTCCTGCAAAAGCTAGCGACAGCGTGTAGACCATACTGAAAAGATAGCTACAGCGTGTAGACCAATCATACTGAAAAGATGACACAATGCTCCTGAATACGTCACTGCGCATTTCTGTCATGGTTTTTCTTAGCTACCGGAGTGCAGCATACTCAATTCGGCAATCAGTCTGGTTTTGTTGGATTATGGTGAAATAACTCCTGATATACTGAGGTTTATGACTTGACTTTTAGGTCACCGCGAGTGATCCCTTTCAACAGTGGAATAATCTGAATTACAAAACAGGTCAGACTGTCAACTGCCGTCATAAGGGCTTCATTTGATTGGTCACGAGAGTACGCTACGTCTGTGGTTTGAAGCAAAAGTCAAGCTGACACACTTGATTGGTCTGATTATTGATTTGTCTTGTCCAGGCGGCTGACATGCACGGACCGTCACCCTGTTTGTGGCCTATTCACATTTACGCAGATTTTAAACCAACGGAGTAGCTAGGGTCTATCCACCTGCATCATCCACGGCAAACATTTCTATTGGAATTAAGTAATGGAGAGTTTTCGCCACTCGCATTTGGTGACGCTTTGTCGTAGCTTTCCAGCGACCTTGTAGTTTTCCATCTCTGTAACGGAAAGGTCAAAACGACCCTTAGGTCTCCTGGATTGTCTTGTTACGGTTTTGATGTGTGTGGTATTGTGATCTAACTCAGTGCGGATGGCATCGGGAGTATTTCTCGTGTCCTACGATGAATATGGGGCGTGAACTGTTACGCAGTTACTGGTGAACGGAGCAAACAAGATTTGCTCTGGTGAGATTTCAAAAGCTAATGAGAATAGCGCTGGGTGAGAAATCATCAAACCTACTACCCAGTGTCCCTCATTGAGAAAGCGGTAGACTGGTCACAAAAGAGACAGCCTAAACGTAGGACTTGTACAGATTCCCTATTGTCAGCAGACGAATTTACGCGGTTCCATCCGCGTTGTTTTCAAGATGTGCAATGCCATAAAGAAGCACCTGATCCACCCCAAGGATTCCATCTCTGTAGGTGACCGAACAGACGGTGTGTTGCAGTGTTGCAATGATATACAGGAGACGGGTAAGCAACTGAGAGTGTGCCATGCCGGACACAAGAAACATGCTTGTTTTCCGCCTCAAAGCAGGTCTTAATATCAAAATACTAAAGTAGGACGAGATTCAATCATCGATCTGCACACTGTAGGGAAAATCACAATCTTATTTGACCGNTATTTGACCGGCTGAACCAGCTCGAACAAGACTTTCGTCACACTGGCGGCCTCCGGCGGTCCATACCCAGTCTGTGTACATCAACGAGGCGACGGTCTGTCCATGTCAGCTATCTGGTCAGTATTCAGACCAACCAGGCGCGTAGTACCAGCCTTAAACCGCAGACGTGGGCGTGTCCCCTTAACCAAGCGGACGACGTGACCACAGCTGTCAGTTTGACCTGTTTTTGTTGTTTCTGATTAATACCTTGTTGGAAAAGGTCGCCGGTGACCGCAACGTTGAACATCAATCCTCAACATATTAACGTTTTTTATTCATGCGCGATCCAACCAAACTAAGTGCTCACTTTTGCTATAAAGGAGAATGTTGGTAGCTCAGCTAGCGTAGATGGTCGTTGGTTTGTTCGCTGATTTGGGCAATTTGATTGTTGATAGGAAATCAAAGATATTTCAAACTCGGTTTTCCCCTTCCTGAAAGTGATAAGGAGCCGCAATCTGACAGCCATATATATATTTGTTCTACCACTTCTCTAGCATGCGTCAGTATTTTGGGTACGCAGATACACCGGTTGGAAACATAGTGGTCATATACCTACACTTTGGATACAAATGCCCTCGGAAAATAAGTAGGCATAATTTGACTGTCTCAGTGCTTCAACTTTTTTCTCCATCCCTCTACTTCTCCTGCCCCTTCAATACAAGGACAAAGTTGGTAACTGATCAGGTGACTGTTGATATGTCCGCCGAGCTTGACAATTGATTTGCAAACGTTCCGAGAAGACATCTAAACTGCGCACCCGACGGCGCACTGAAGGTGTTTTCTCGAATGGTGACGAAACGTTTGCAAATCAGTTGCCAAGCTCGACGAACAGATCAACAGCCACTTGATCAATTACCAACCAATACACCCGAGCTACCAATATTACCAACAAGGACAGCGTGCCTGGCCCGATCTGGCATGGAATGAGAAGTAGGTCACTGAAAAAGGCCAAGCAATTGCCAAGGCTTTCAGGATATGTCAGAACCCTGCTTCAGACTAGCAAACTAGTTATGAGGCCATGTCCTATATAGGTAACCGACAGCTAGTATTCCATTTTAGTTTTCTAGAGATATAGTAGTCTGTTTTTCGTTTGCTACTGAACTGTTGGGTAACATGCTCGGTTTTGAAAGTCTCCTTTCACACGAAGTCTACCAGTAAAGATTGTTTTCTGTCACTGTTATTTGCACTCATCGGCACGAATCAAGATACTACACAAATTTTGCCCATGAGATTCCGACCTATCGACCAGAACAAGTATTTTGTTTNCGCGTTTAACAGGCCAGAAAAATTTCTCGTTGCATAATTTCGTGTGAAAAAGAAACAACGTGCAAACAAGAAATAGCCTGATGTGGAAGCCCACCAATGTCCCTAAGATTTTCAGCAGTGTGACTTATAATCGACCGAATCCTGTCGTGTCAGAGAACAACAGAGAGCGTTTGGATCAACGGCGGATAAGTTACCTCCTATGAGCCGCAGTCATAGCTACACGATCGTGATAGATGGCGAACTTTATCATGAATATAGCAGTTCCATGGCGTAGCCTTTTGAAAATGTGAAGCTAGTTGCAGGCAAAAAAATTTGAAACACGTATTTACGTTTCGTTGAACCGCCACTTGAATATCTTAGCCTTGATAAGTAAGTTGAAAACTCCAGCTTCAATTAGCCTAAAAGTGAGACACCAGTACATTCCGACAGATTACTGTTCAAAAACAACGAGATTCCTCTCAAATGTCGTTCTTTTGAGACAAAAATTGTTGTAGAATCTGACATACTTTATCAAATGAGACTATTTCCACTGAATCCCCTCCATTTCTGTGCTTACTGAGTGAGTTATCTTGATTCCACTCCTAGCATACGGATGATCACATGGATGGAAGCGCGTTTTCTCAAATAATGTATGCAAAACTGTCGGATATGAATTCATCCCTTAAAAGAAACCTACTATGGGAAGAAGACCACCACAAACGAGAGATTTAGCTGAATTCAGTTAAGTCTACCGTTAAAACCAAATTAGTGCCCAAATGAGAGAATTCGGATAACCTAATATAAGAAACTTCGGAATCACATTTTGC